GAATGACAAGAAAGCTTGTCACCGTCGGGATGTCAGTCGACCTTGCAGATCTTTCATTGGTAGATACTTAATTTTTATGAAATTTATGGTGCGGCATAAATGTTTTTCTATGCCATTGGCAGTATACAGCGGCTACGTGGCTGTCATAGCGTTTACTCACTTGTTCCTTTTCTTTCCTTTGCTGGCACTTTGCCACAGTTTCTAAGAGGTCTATTTCGAACTCGCCAATAGCCAGGTTCGTTTCTGCATGAGGACAGTCATTCTCTTATTCCGAGTTCTACGAATTTGAGCTTCTGATTTGTCACACATTGCAAGCTTGGGAGCGGGGCTGCTCAGTCGTTAATGCATCGGAGTCAAAACCGATTGGTATCGAGTTCAACCCCCGATCGGGGTCATTCGATTTTATTTTTGACGAGGTTGATGAATGAGTACTGTTCTGTAGGAAGGAAACAGGAAACTACGCGTTGTGCTTGTTATTTGCCCCATAAGCACTCCTAGTTGATGGCATAGAAACGGAGATCATCACCAGCATCAGTTTCAGGTTTCAAATCGGAGATCATCACCAGCACCACATCATCAGTTTCAAGAAAAAAAAAGGTTCCAATCATAAAAGTGAAGGAATAACGACGTTCCAGAGGTGATATTATTTTTCTCCTCTGTCCTACTTTAAGACTTGTTCTCATTTATGAACCAGTAAAGGAAGAAGAGCGAGTTGAACCGAAGTTTCAACCCGGAACTTCACGATTTAGAGCCCTAATGACTCCGTAACCCAAGTCCGTGATTTGTCGAAGCGCGCTTGTGAATAGAGGTTTTTTTATCGTCCTCGTGTTCTGTTACACTGGACGATGAGTCAATAAAAAAGTAGTAGAATTATTATTCAAACAAGGGACCACTCAATTACATGCTAATTATCAATTTTAAGGATGTCTTTAATCCGATTCTAGATCGGTCATGCATTCAAGAGGTAGTAGAGCTCAGGCGCTGACCAGCGTCTATTGATTTAGATGGATCCCTAGAATCAGCAGAATGGAGGCAGGGAATTGAAGTTCCGTTTGGTTTCCAAAATTATATATGTTGAAGTTTTTCACTGTAAATACGCTGATTTTTTCTAGTTCATTGTATAACCGTTACGTGATATTCCTTAAATTTGGCATAACTCGAAATGGATGCGTTTTTTTTGGTTTTTGTTGCTCTTCTCACTATTGATCATGGTCAAGTTTTGCACCTACCTACAATGGCGGCCTAGATCGTTATTAATAACGTAGACACATTGTTTTTGAGGTATTGCCGTTGCCCCAACTGAACTTCTGCCGCAAACTATGGATAAGAAGGTTCTCAGGCGTCGACCTTATAGACCGAACTTTGGACCATCGCAGGTAAGTCGTGAAAAAATTTTTGTTTTTCTGCACGGTCGTTCTGACTGTCTAAATTTAGGAGGACGTGTCTGAGAAGCGAGAAAGCAGCGATCAATACGCTACAAAACCGCCCATTATTCTTCTAAAACCTCCTCCCAGAAAGGTAATTCGATTAATTGAAGATACTTGGATTTCTTTCGTC